TTGAGCCTTAACCTATTTGTACGAAGGAATGTCTACGAGGGAGTCTTCATGAGGCACCCTTGTAGTGAGGGGAAATTGGACACTATCAGACCCCACGTAGCTTTTTGTATAACAGTTCTTTCGAAGGATTGTAAATCCATTGCTATGTGTCCCCTTCATACATCCCTTACAAAACCTTGCAAATCTTGATTGTCCAACCTCGTACAGTAAATATCCCATTTCAAGCCTGACAGAGTCCCGAAGAACTACCTAAAGAAGGGACCGACACTTTAAATCCTAAACCCTTACTTAATGCACCCCGTTTTCCTCTTCGCTCGGAAGCATTCAATGAGGATGTGCCCGAGAAGATCAACGCAGAGCACGGCGGAGACGGACCTGCGGTATTATCATATCGGGGCTATACCTAACCCCCCCCAAAGCACTTAAAACCTTGGCCCAATACCTATAAAAGGCCATTATTCTACATACTTTGGGCGGTCCAGGTAGGCTCTACGAAATCAGAAGCTTCGGGCTTAGCCCGAACCTGGAACCCCGAACTCTAAACACACCCGAAAATCTGCTGTTGGGTTTAAGGCATTCAGCTCCCAGGACACGACTCATCGCGCGGGAAGTCAGGGAAGGACTATGTGCTCCAGGTGCCATGGAGCCTTTGTCCTTCTGTCACACCCAGACAACCCAGTAGAATAGAACCCAGAGGCTCCAATATCCCTTCACTAAGGAAACATCCTTAAATGTTAAATCGTATTAGGGATCCTACAATAATTTAAGGTATATTCCTTAATAAAGGGATACTGGAGTCTCTGGGAAGCCGGAATGACCACCAATACTATGCTCACTTTGCCCCAGGGCTCCTTCCTGATTATTGACTTTAGTAGCACAACATTTTATGCCCCAAAGCCCTACGCTAAGAAGAACAAGGCCCCTAGATGGCCATTTCCTCGGCAATATGCACCTGAACTCACCTCACCCTACGCGCCAAGTTTCCGCAACCTCAACCTCCTCCTAGTAGTAGATGTATAGCCCCTATATAATCCCTATATAACCAAACAGGTTAACCTTGAGTTCCAAATGATACCCGACAAGTAGGTCCTTAATTCGGACAGGTGCCGCTGGGGACGATCATCCGGGAACCCTGGCTGCAAACTACCGTGACCCTGCTTGAAAGGATCATGGGACTTAGTAACTAAGGGTAGCTAGACTTATAACTACTTCTAGCCCCAATTAAGTTACTTACAACCATACTTACTAAGTCCATAGACCACCGAGCCCAAGCCTTGCTTTGCTTTGTCAACAGCTGACACAGTGCTTGCTTGAGACAAGGAGCGGGTCTTCAGTGGCGAGCGCACGCCCGAAGGCCACTGGGTGATATCGTGGCGGATGTATAGGGTTTAGGGTTTAAGGTTGAGGGGTCAGGGTTTAGGGTATAAGATCCGCAGCTCCGGACCGGGAAGCACAGTCATATTTACAACTTTGATAGAAACCATACTTACTAATCCTAACCCCTAAACTCTAAACCCTATAAACCCTAAACCATGATCCTCCAAGCATGGTTTCGGCAGTTGAGGTCGCCGCATCTTCCTTCCGCAGTTCCGGTACCAGCGCCTGGGCAGCGGCGGACGGTTTAGGGTTTAGGTTTTAGGGTTTGGGGTTTTAAGGTTTCTGGACTTAGTAAGTACGGTTATAAGTAACTTAATTGGGGCTATAAGCAGTTATAAGTATAGCTACCCTAATCGTTTCCCTAGTTACTAAGTCCCACGATCCTTTAAGCAGGGTAGCGGTAGCTTGCAGCCAGGGTTTCAGGGTTAAGGCGCGACATTGTTTTTGCAGTTGGTCTTGGCCCGGCCACTGCCGCTGCATATTCAGAGAATTGTGGACTACAACTTTGCGAGGTTTGTCGGCAAGAATCTCGCATGAGGTTCTGATTGCTTAATTGTGCATCGCTACATGTCTATACCTTGAATGCTACCACTCTAGCCCAAACACCCCCACATGATTATGTAGTTGGCAGACAGCCTCAGGAAGTGCCTTGCCCCTACGCCCTTGCTACCACACCACTCCTGATCCAGAAGAGGCCACAAAGGACAACAACTCGCTTCCGTTACTTCATGGTATGCAGGCCAGGTAGCACAACCCAGATGTGTAAGCTGCTTAGTTACTTCGAGACCTACTCTGTCAAGAGCCGCTTTAATTCTAGGTTGAGACTGATACGGTTGATGATATAAATCCTGCATTACCCATATCATGTAATGAGGAACATACCGTAGCTCCCATACTCTAGGGCCATTAAGGTAATGCATGATTTCTATCATCAGCCGTAGCACCACAGCCGCACTTGGGTTGTCAGTCGGCAGCTGGTCGTGTCCCTTCCGACCACATTATAGGGACCATGAGCTTCCCAGAGGCTCCAATATCCTTTAATTAAGGAGTATACCTTAAACCTTATAGTAGGATCCCTAGTATGATTTGAGGACTATTCCTTAATTAAGGGATACTGGAGTCT